TAATTATCTAAAACTAAAAATAGCAGGCATTTTTTAGAGGTGCTACCAATTTCCTCGACTATAACAACGTTCCAAATAGTCTTTTGAGCTTCACCAAAGTCTGCACTTGTTGGACGGGTTCATTTTGCTGCCTACAGGACATTTGAACGCTTCAGAAAACTCCTGCATGTTAGAAACAACTCCATTCACTCTCCATTTTGATTGGGCGTGTACGTCAGCCTTCATTTGCTCCAAGTATTCAACTGAAGGGTTACTGCACCATGCCTGCAATACAAATGAAAGTAACAATCACAATAGAAATCATATTCAGGTAACACCTGCTGCTGGATGAAGATCTGCGAGACTAAATTGTGTGAGGTATCTTCCATAAATATAATATGTCGGGTAGGATTCAATATTCAGCGTGGTATTAGCCTAAGCATTGCAAGAGCTACTGATGCATCCCGAAAAAGTCACTGTTTGGTGTGGATTATGGGTCAGTGGCATCATCGGGCCGTACTTCTTCACCGGAACGTTACTGTGAATGGCGAGCGCTACCGTGTGATGATTGACGAGTTTTTGTTGCCCAAAATGGAAGAATTGGACATCCCTGACATGTGGTTTCAACAAGACGTGCCATATGCCACACGGCACGCGAAACAATTGCCCAATTAAGAGCCACCTTCGGAGAACAGTTTATCTCACGTTTGGGGCCGGTCAATTGGCCGCCTAGATCGTGTGATTTAACGCCTTTGGATCAGTTCTTGTGTGGTCATGTTAAGGCTCATGTCTACAGGGATAAACCAGCAACGACTGACGCTATGGAAACCAATATTGAAGCATTTATATGCAAAATACCGGTCGATATGTTAGAGAGAGTGCGCCAAAATCGAACCTTGCTCATGGGCCATCTAAAGCGGAGCCGCGGACAACTTTTTGTGTTGTTTTGAAAATCAAATCCTATACCTCTTAAAAATCACCCGTTATTACATAGTCGAAAAAATGGCCCTATTTGAAGGAAATAAAGACAGTGTGCCGTGTCATAAATCAATGAAAATGATGGCAACACTGCATGAGTTAGGCTTCAAATTATTTTGTATCCACCATATTTTCCAGCGACTCTTTCCCGACCTCAAGGAAGTGCTCGCTGAGAAGAAATTTAGCGCCAAAAATGTTTTTCTATGTTAGCCTACTAACTTTTCAGCTCAACTTACCTACACCTTTCTGATGCGTGCTACACCATACCGTTCTAGTGTTTATAAAATAATATTTCCCTCTGAAATCACCTATAATATGGACATTTCTCGATCGGTTGATGGTAAAAACTTTTTTCTGATTTCTTGAATATAGTTGAGAGGAATGTTTTTGATTTACATGTAGTAAAAATGATTGCTAGATATTATTGGAGAGTTTCAGTAGAGACCGTTTCACGTACTTACAGTTCCGAACCCTATGAAGAAAAGTTGTTCTGGTGTTAATCCGGCCGTATTTCCGTTTGCTCCAGTCCTTTCCAGCATTTTTTTCATGGAGTAATAGGATTGTCTAACTCCTCCATTGTCAGCCAAGTTTTCATTAAGAGTTTTGGTCCCATTGACCTATTTTAATAAGAATGATCATAATAAAAATGATATAGAAATAATAATGATAATAATAGTAAGAAATGAGAGCCTGTCGAATCTACGTCGAATGGATCAAAATCTGGCCTTCTTAGCGGCCAATAAAATCTAATCACGCCCCGTTAACCAATAAAGCATTATCAAACGAATACTATACTCACATATGCGTCTATTTCTGGTACGTAGTACTTGTTATATTGATCAACAAAACACTCCGTTCTCTCATCGAATGCCGCCTTGGTTTCTGCTGTCCACCAAGAGGTTAAAGTTCCGTTAGCATCATATTTTCGCCCCTCCGCATCGAATCCGTGTGTAATTTCATGTCCTATGATGCTTCCTATTCTTCCATAATCTAGGATACTGAAAAAAAAATGAAAAACCTGGTAAAATTCACAAATTTTATATGAACTCTGAGGACATGCCAGAAACTATGTGCTAGGAATCGCGCGTTGATGGACACGACCTCGTTAATCCTTTGCTCGCACAAGTCTCGACTTTTCAGGGTTGTCATTCGTAAGGGAGCGACACAGCTGGTTAACGAAAAATAGTTTTTTTAACATTCATTACACAGGCAACACAGGCATATCCTATGTATATCCAGGTCATGTTCAATTCAGATCCTTGGGAATTTGAGATACTCAGTTATAAGCTTGTATTTTGACATCCTAAAAGTTGTCACAAAACCTACAAACCCTTAAAATGACAGATGGTTCAGTCATCTTAGTCAAAATTAGGTAATTATCTAAGAATTTGAGATACTTAGTTATAAGCTTGTATTTTGACATCCTAAAAGTTGTCACAAAACCTACAAACGGTAATGTTTCAGGCGACTATAGTCTGTTCGGAACTGAGAGAAACTACAGCAGTATATCTATATATGTATATTAGTGTCATATGCATACTGCATTTAAATCATTCAATAAATGAATACACAAAATTTATTCTTGAAAAATTTCATTCATAACAAACAAAATAACGAATCAACTACAGCAAATGTGAAAATATGTCTAGTAGTAACCAAGACATTCTTCAACAAATAAGTATTAAGTTGAAAGGGATTGAAAAAAAATTGTTTTTGAAGGCGATATAAATAGATATGTCTTTGAATTGTATCGTCAACAGAGAAGCTGCACCCATCAATAAGACCGACTTGGCTTTTTCCATAGGAAGAAAATATTACATTATTTTCTGTTGGGAGTTTAAAGGATGTGGTAGAGGAGTTAGTCTTGATCTTAGTCTTAGTGATATTCTTCAGTTTTCTTCAAGAGCGCGTTGAATAAAAAGCTATACAACGTGGAGAATTCTTAAGGAAAAAAACAGATTTTTGGAACCGAAAGTATCCACTGGCAGAACGTGTTAGGTTATCGACGGAGAAGTCAAGAATTCTATTAGGAGTCTACTCTTTTTACAAAAAAAAAACAAAATACTCACGTTAAATAGTGTTTTGTCAGTTATTCGTGAAGACAATTTTCTCCTGATATCAGAAGAACTAAATTATGGAAGATATTACAGGAGCTGATTTTCACTTTTAGAAAACAAGATAGAAAGATCATGTTGACAAAGAATCGGAGATTGTAGAATGAAGATGAAACTATTTAAGAGAAATAAAAAACCTAGAACACTGGGTAAACCTATTTTTTAATTGGATGAAACATTGGTCAATGAGGTTCATACCTTCTCGAAGGTTTGGCAAGACTAGAACATCAAAACCCTGAAGTGTGTCTCTCCGTACAGCCATAATTTTCCTCTTCATGAAACTACATACCAGAATGGTACTGGATGTAGCCTGAAAAGTCGTCAGGAGTTAGGATTCCCTTCTCTACATGGTCTGCGACCATGAGATAGCAGAAACTGAAGCATTTCTCTTTAGGGCAGCTGCCCGAGCAGCTGATGAACTCGGTTTAGTTTTCGACGCTGGCCGAGGTCATCAATACTCTTAACACCGAGTTGGAAGCCGTTCAGCGAAAGGCCCATATAAAAGCCGCAGTGATCACCTCACTTCTTCGGCAACACAAGGATAAGCCAATGCATGTGGTCTTCTTCAATAACATTGAAGACCTTGGGTTATCAGTGCTTGATTTTCGTTTTCCTCAGGTCGAGTGGGTTAAGGTCGGAAACTGAGGGGTTCATNTAAGAGCCTGATAAGATACATTTTTATGCTGAATCTTTCATTTCAAATAAAAATATTTGTCTACAATATCAGAGAACAAGTGAATTCAATGACTGGTGTCCATATGATTTTTAGTCTGAACCTAGTTAGAAATTACGATGAGATGTTCAAAGCTTTCTACTCATATCTAAAAAAGTATACCACTAAAAGTCGTCTGTGAATCATTCTAAATTATTACGCAAAGGGGATACAAACGTCAAATTAGTAATGATATTTCGGACAATTTCATGACATTTGTCTGTTTGTTGCAATTGTTTATATGTTGAAAACACAGAACTTGAAATTTTTGAGGTTGTTCTGTGGTTTGGAGTTGGTAATAGTTATCAGTTGGTTTCCCTTCCAATGAAATTGATTGGTGTGTTGCATATATTCAACAATTCACTTGACAAATGACGTTCTTATGTAAAAGTGGCGACCACTTAAATTTGCGGTGTTGATCGTTTCACTCTAGTCGTACAGTTTCATTCATCTATTTATCCTACTTGTAACAACATAACCTTACAATGCCCGATCTCGCTTTCCAACTTGGGACATTCGATAGGCGTTTCTGAATGCCTTGATCCTCTTAGTATTTCCATAGTTATCCCATCCGCAAATTCTCAGATTCTCGTAAAACTGGTCAAGGAGTTCTGGTTCCGGTACCAAATCCGGATAGGCCAAAATGGTTATCATATTGTCAAATTTTTGAACGGCTTTAGCTTTGCATTCGTCGTCCATCCACATGGCATTTTGGAGACTTTCCCGGTACACACTTTGCAGATCTCTAATCATTTCCAAAGCCTAGAAACAGAAAAGTTTTATCTTGAGAAATCAGTTGATATGATTCTAAAATGAATAACCTTTCCTAGCCCGTTCACGTCAAAATGGCGGAGTTGATACTCATAAGCTACGGCGAAACTCATCCCAGCTGTGTCAACGGAATCGATGATTTTCCTGGTACAATATTCCCATCTGGAATCAATAAAATATTCTGATTTAGACTTTCAGTGTGTGAAGTTTCAAGACAATGAATATGTTGAATTCCAATTTCAAACATGCACCTCTGCCGATATTCCTTCACAATGGAATCTGATAAAAACCTGTCGGAATTAACCGTATTTACGTATGTCATACACTGAATGTAAACAACATGTTAGGGTAATTGATCTCTAGAAAAAGTTTTCAAAAATCGGTTTGCAAAACCACTCACTACCTCACCTAACCCCACGAACACACGGCACTGATAAAGAAATATTGTGAAACGGACAAAAAATTAGTATTCAGCCAGTCCAGCTAGCCAAGGCTTTATTCCTCAACTACATTTGATAGCACGTTTACTAACTAGAAATGTTTATGACTGTACTCTTATTTTTATTGCCGTTCCAACTGGGAATTGATAGACTATACCAGTTATCATTTAAAATATATTGTAGAATAGTTTGGTGTACCAGTCGAACTGATTAAACTACCTTGTAATGAACCTAGTCTAGAATAAATCGTGTGAAAATTCTGTAATTTTTCTCACTTAGACAAAACGTTATAAATTCAAACAACCAAAAATAGCAAATTAATAAGTTGCCATTACTGGCAAGTTCTGCTGTTAAAATTCAAATGGCAGTGCTTAACTTTTAAGGGAAGCATACAATGTCAGTTCCAGAATTGATACCTTGGTAGTATTCTGACTTTTTGGGTTGTCAGATATTCTTCTAAAATGGCTCTGGATTCAGCATCCCCGTCTGCGGCCATGAAGAGGTATATCCGCATCATAACGAAGCTTTTGACAGTTTCAGGGTTATTCATGTTGACCCAGTTCAAAATTCCGAAGAGTAATCTGCCTAAGTTCGTTGGGGTCATCACTTGGGTGTCTTCGCCGATTTTTTGTCCAGATGTGGAAAAAACCCTCCTCATATATTCTACCCAGTCGATCTGAAAATTAAACAGGAATCAATTGAATCATCTAAAGGAACAATTCGTTCAATTCAGTCTCAACTCTCTACGCTGTTGGTTGATTTACGGACACCCATCAGAAAACTACTACTTCCCTGGCTAATACCACGATAGGCGTAAATAAATAAAACTAATAAATAAATAAGATACTGGATTTTTCTGGCATCCAAAATCATATATGTGATGGGTATTCTTTGAAACAAGTTTCGATTGCTCGCTTAATTTGACCGATATATTTTTTGTCACAGTCCTCTCAGCTTATTTCATATCCTCCCGACTTTTCATTTTCCGATATCTTGTCTTTGTGGTTAACTAATATTTGTCGAAGTAAGCCACAAGTTTTGAAGGTTCAATTTTTCAACAATACGATCCAATACGTTAGTGTATGTTGGTTCATACGGAAGGATAATAAACCTATTTTAATCCATGTCTTTTTGAAATGTTGATGGTTTACGAAGTTTTTCTGTAATTCGTGTTCTTTTAATAATTTTTCTACTATATTTGTAGAAGTGGGTAAGAAGTTTTGAAGGCTAATATTGTGTTCAACTTTTTGAAAATACGATAAATTTCGTTAGTGTATCTTAGTTCATACGGAAGGACAATAAACACTTTCCGTGAAAGTATATATAGGAGACAGACAAATCTCCAACCTTGCTTCGATGTTATATAAAGGTTGCAAGTGATGTTAGCGTCTCCAATTAGGCGGATGGCTTTTTTCGGGAAGGAATCCAGTTGCCGAGGTCTGTAGTTTTCTGTTCGAAACAGTGTTCCAAGTTTTTGAGAAGCAGCCTTTGCAATTCCAGCGACATGAGTGTGCCAAGACATATTGGTGTCCATTTTAACCCCCAACTAACTTATCGAAGCAGGAAGCGGAATTGTCTGTCCTGAAATTATTATATTTGGTTGGACGCTTCACTCAAAATATTCTATCTCACAAACTAATAGTCTGACAGCTGTGAAATTTGTACATGTGTCTTTTGAAGGTAGGATTCGACTGATATGGATTCAATACTAGTAGCGGCATCTGTTTGTTAGCATACGAATTCCTCAGCTCCTCTAATAAATATCGCTCCGAGGCCGTGGAAAGTAATTAAATTCCCCTTTTGCTTCCATTTCAAATCTGTTCATGAACAAATTAGCTATTGGGGGGACAGTGGGCTACTTATATCTATTATATTATATATCAGAGTAGCATTATTTACTGTTTCGTGAAAAAACATTATTGAAAAGTATCTAACAAAGATGACAGTAATTATTGTTACCTTCACTGAGTCTCCGAAATGTTCTTTGGTCCACTCGTTGAGTCTTCCAAGTGTTGAATATGTTCCATTGCTTATCAACTTAATCTCTGTATTTTCAGGTATAAACTAAAAAAAATTTCGTTCTACTAATCAAAAAATATAATTTTGGGTATGAGAAAATTAACAGTTAAAGCAAACTATGCGAGAGAATGATTACCGGTGCTTTCAGAATAGAAAAAAAATCATTTGCCAAAATTGCCAATAATTAGAAATTGAATAATAATATTTTCTCCAATTCCTGGGGAGTATTTCACCATTCAAGTTGTCAATACTGAAATATTCCTGAATGTTCCAATAATCCACATCTGATACTCTACTTACCCCTCCAAGAAAAACCCCTCTCATAAAATTCGACATCACTTCAATGTTTCTCAACATGGTTTCTTGATCGATGAAGCTCTGGGTAGCTTTACGGAGTTTTTCGGCCATTTTCCTCAAGTAAATATCGAAGGGTTTCAAAGGCGGCGAACTTTTCAACGATCGCAGTTGGAACGTCTCTGATTTGGCTGAATCTAGAAAACCTCGCTCTATGACATCTTCGTAGGAACCGAATACATCGGATCTTATTTGCGAAGGAAGAGTCATGTCGGTAGAACTAATCTGGAAAAAAGTATACTCGTCATTTAACGTATAAATTCGACATACGGAACAAAAATTAAAATGTATTTTAGAACCAGCCCCACGTTGGGCGCCAGATGAGCAAAACGGCGAATCTCACGGTTTCATTAATGGAAATGGATAAGGCTAGCGAAGAAAATGCGTAACACTGTGTTGTATTTTTATCATCTATAACAGTTATCGAAACTCGCGTAGACTAGCGGATGGAAAATATACTTAGAAGCCATAAGGCCATAAGCCATAGCCATAAGGCTCAACTTTAGAATGTAACCGGAATGTAACAATGCTCTTCACAATGCTTTAGTCAATGAAAAAGGGGCAAATTTCTTTTCCATCGATAAGGTTGTTGAACTGTTGGCAAGCCTTTTCCTCAAGACATAAAAAATAATAAGAGGTTGCATACTTGCATTTCAACAAAAGTTCACGTAAAAATATCTGTCTCACTCACATAGATCAAATTTTGTGAAGGATCCTCATAATTGGAAGTAACCTGTATGTTGAACATCAGGGGAATCCCGTACTCGCTAACTGCATCTGCGATGTCATTCCATCCGAACTCTGTAGACCCCTCATGTAAAAGAGTTTGGACCAACGGAAAACCATGTTGTTGTTGTACTACCGATAGTTCTGGTTCCACCTTCAAATCGATGTAAGGGAGATCCACACAAGACTGGTAGGCCATCTTCGCCTTCTTCAAAGCTTGGGGATCCTCATCTCTCTGCGGGGAAGACAGGATTTCTATATTGGAAAGGAAAATATCAATTTCAAATGAATGAACATTCAATGTTGTCGGTGAAACGCTACTTTCAGCCACATACTTCTGTGGTGGAACAGGCGCGCGTAGCATTATTTTCAGCGTTAAATCAAAATTATAAATAATGGAGGTACATTTACAGGAGTCGTGACTATTCGTGAATCATTTTGTTCCATTTCTTAAATATAAGACTTCCAACGGGGACCTCCAAACATGAATAAATACCTTAGCAAACCGCCCCTCCTCACGCAACTACTTACTGTTGGACAGTTTTTTGAGTTTCTCTTCTAGGATTGTATACTGGTCTACAGTTAGAGCTCCATCAGGAAGAGGATGTTCCAATTTGAAGTTCCCGCAAGTATACTCGTAGAAATCTTCGCATGGATCGACTTCAAGATTGAGGTAGCGCAGAGAGGGTATTTCCTCGACTGGAAGATAAATGGACCCAAAAATAAATATGTATTCAACAAAGCAATATCTACAACACAGATGTGAAAAATCGACATTGACATCGTGCCGGCTATAAAAGTTATAAAGGACAAGGTCACGAATATCTTGCGACCTATTCAATAGAGGCCATTATAAAAAACCTGGCTAGGGAGTTAAAAAAAGATACTGCAGCCAATAACAAATCTATTACCACCTGAACCCGATGATCTACTGGACACAATCTTTTGTAATTGTACAGAAGGTTGTGGTGACAAATGTGGATACAAAAAAATTGAATAAGATATTCGAAAGTTGTAGACATTACCGTGGCCGGTTATGCTTGAACGCAGAGTCAACCAATGATGTAAATGATGAAGTTGTCGATTTGCATACAGAAATAAGCCCACTCGATATATCATGGGGAAAACATGTTAAAAACGCGCCTTGCATTCTACCCTTGAGGTGGTGAGAAAATAATGAAAAAAATTATTATTTCAATCTCCACCACCATCGCCTTTGTTTTTAGATCACAATCAGACGTATGAATAGAAAAACATCATAGAAATATTATTTCCTTATCGCCTAATGGTTTTTTTCGAGATAATGTATCTAAGAGTTTTAGAATAACTTCGATAAGCCGCTGACGATTGTATTTGCTAACACAACTTGATTTTCAAAATGATATCACAATATCTCGTCACAGGATCTGAAATCTAACGAAACTCACTTTGGAGTAACGTGAAATATAGCTACAATTAAAATCGTAGATTTTTTTCAATCATATCAATATACCTAATTAATCTTCGTTGTTAATTACAGCACATCGTAATATGCTTACTCTTTCATTACCATTTCTCTTCATCCTTTAATGTATGTGACTAGTGCACAAAAATAGAGTCAAATATGAGTTAGTTCTTATTTTCACGCGGCAAAATAACAATAACTAATTCAATAAATGAATAATCATTCAATCTAAGATCAAATCACTAGAGATATTCAGAAACACTATTAATATATCACCTAGAGAAGGCGTTCTATGATATTTAAGATCATTTTAATGTAGATTCAATATTTTTGTCCACTTTGAAGTGAATTATTTATATCCACTCATTACTTTTGTCTCAATATACTTTTTATTTAGAGGTTCATCCACAAACCTACATATGTATATGTGTTTAATGACTAAGTGTATATGTTGCATTTTTGATTTTTTATTTACATTTTCAGCACATCTTTTTCAGGAAATGTACTTTATGTTTGTATTTTTACTTTGACTTCATCAGCAAGATGCTATCTTCGGAGAACAAAGTATATTTTTGTTGATTCATTTGATACTAATGTGCTATCAAGTGTTCATGCGGGTCAATTGCTGTCTACAGATACTTTTGGTGGTAAATAAATAACTGACAGGCGACCGTAAGGTCGGTTTCTTTGACGTTCGATGTTTCAATTCCACCCCGAATATTTTGAGTGATAACAACTGAATTTGCTGAAAAAAATGAAATTTCAGTAGTTGACACTTATGCAAATAAATTATCTAACATTTTGCCACAGTATTTTGTGTAGCAAGGACGTCGATTGTTGTGGTCATTATCTTTATGTTCTGGATATTTCTGTACTTAGGGAGCGTCAAGACTATTTGCAGTCCCGACACCATATAAACTCAGCAAAATCAACTCAACTTCGATTTTTGAAANAGTGTTTCTTTTTTTGCATGGGAAATTGATGAAACTACCGATATTACCTGTACATCACAACTTTCAATCGTTTTTAGATATGTCAAAGATGGTAATGTGGTAGAATAATGTTTCATGGGTTTTCATGATGTTTCATCTGGGCGCACAGAAATGAAAACTAAACTCTCATTAAATTTATTCATATCTTATACTCAACAACAGTTTTCGATTGATTTTGATTACTGTCCTCTGTTCTTCTCCGACACAACTGATGCTTCAACAGGTCGATTCGGCGCATTCTGGTTCCTGGATTGGCGATTTGGATTCTTTCTCTTCACCACGAGGGAGGTGTCAACAACAATCTCATCGAAAGCCACTCCAAATGCAGCTGAAAGAAAACATATGTTATACAGGCAATCAAAAGATTCTCCGAATAGACGAATTATGAGGGAGTTTCTGGGGGTATTTCAAGCAAACTGAAGAAAATACTCGCTTAAACTTGAGGATAATTGCAGTTGAAGATTTTACAAATGTATCCAAATAAGAAATTATTGTTGAATACGCTTATACATACGAATATGCTTATACATCAGATTAACATATAGGCTACAATTTACAAAGGTTTTGTGTAATTTTGGTCATAATATAACGATGAGTATCAAGTAAGTCGAAAAAATTCTTGCTCTCTAAAAGCTGTCTTGGCGTGCGGTGCCTATACCGTTGGAGTTACATGCAGATATTGTACCGTTAAGGCCCCCACACATGTCACTCTTGTTCGACAGAATTATCCGACGTGCAGAACTGTTCGGGCTTTGTAATGGTTCGGGTAATCCGGTCGGTGTACGAGGAGATGTTAAACAAGCTAACGGAAATTGATTCATCGGCGACAATAGAAATGGTGATGATGAGAACTGACTCGATTCGACGAATATCTTTTTCTAAAACATGGTATATGACTCTACAGGTTGCGGGTATGATGTGTCCCAAAGCATGAAGAGATATCATCGCTGAAAATTTCAAATCTTCGTAGCTTCTTCCGGTAGCGATAAATCACAAAGTGGCTGTCAGACGTTCATGGGGGTTATTCTTTGTCTCATGAAAGTGCCCTCTCTCTTGATTAAAGTCGTTACTAACCTAAGTAGTTATAGGTACGTGTCTTCATCCATTCTCAGATAATTAAAACAATCACCTGGTTCTAACCGCAATTCCGCCAATAAATCAACGTGAGAGAATTGATTCTTTTTTAGAAACTACTCTTTTGCCAATTTAAAGAGCATATTTAACTTTTATTGCTAAAACAGCAGCTAACTCCACTGTGGTCTCCATGACAATAACAGTTTTGCACGTCGGGTAATCCTGTCGAAAAAGAACGATGACTGTAGGGGCCTTTCGATTGTTCATTTTGAATATTCCTAAATAATAAGAGTTGGCGACAGCTTATATCTACATCTGGGTAATATATTGCAGAAACTTGTTAAAAATTAAAAGCAATTAGGTAATAATTACTGACCAATATCATATCTTTTTTTCGTTTCGAATAGCTCTTTTATAATTTTCAGTTAGATGTAGTTCCCTCCGCAGGCTTGATGTACTTATCTATTTTTAATACGAGTTTTTATTTTATAGCCTACCTCCGTTGAAATCTTCAAAATTCGTTGAATGAATGCACTTTCCGTTCCTTAAAACAAAATCCCAAAAGCAACTGAACACCAACTTGAACAATAAATTATTTTTTCTCTCCTTGTTTAATATTCGGGAAGGTCTGATTCTTTTGTAATTATGAAACCACAATTTCAATTAGGAGAAGTTTCTATTCATATTGCATATATATATTTATAATTCAGAATAATATAGATCAATCATATGGTAAGTTACAAACACAAAGAGATTATGAAAACTGTCCTTGGGGAATACCAGTTCAAGACATTTAGCCTCCTCAACTGTCGTTGAATCACTGTTTGATTATTGTTACTAATTTCGTCACCCACAAACATCTTATACTCACATTTGGCATCACTACTAGCCTCGTTATTTCCTTCCAAAGGCAAACAATCGATGGCACAAATGAAGAACAATGCACAAACAACAAGAACCGACAATTTCATCTCGATCTTGGACAGGTAAAAATGAGAGTAAACGATGAATTCGTCACTGAAGAATGAAGAAACAAAACCGGACTGATGTGTGTTACGTTTTGTTCCGCGTTTGAGGTGACTGCGAAAGGTTTAACGACTATTATAACGCGTGAGCAAAATAAATTAGAATTCTTAGACTGAACCAATACGAAACATGCAGATGTGTTTACACTAACTTTATCAAGTCAACAAGATGTATGCGAATACGACCATTTGAAGGCGGTGTTCGACCAAATGGACTAGCCGAGTCTGTGATTTATTCACAAACACCTACAAACAAGACAGCGACTCAAAAATACTATTTCAAACTTGAGGTACGCGGTGCAGTCTTCAGTTTTGTTCATGTAATCCACCATTTCCACTGAATTAATTCCTGTTGTACAGTCAGAAAGTACGTCTAGGCCATAGACAACTTGACATGGTGATCCGAAAAAACGCTCAGACAGGTCGATTTTTATTGGGAGTGGGACAGTTTTTTCCCCATTTACAGCGTCGTCACTTCAATCCCGGAGCAGAGGGGTGAACAACCCTTGGAATTTTAATAGGGAACTGGGGAGGAGTCGCACATCGTTCGAAAGATCTTGGAATTCTCTAAACAATGGTGTACATTTTTTTGACTTCGGACGTATTCAAAAGAGTTCTTTCCGATAATTAACGTTTATCGATGTTGTCCAATTGTTGTACGCCACTGTTCAATTGGAATGTATTTGGAACTCTTTCATTTGTTTCTTACGCTACTTTTTTGTAAATTTTTTAGTTCTTCTCTGATAAGAGGACTATTACAATTGAGACATGATTAAAAATGATGTTTCTATTTCCCATTTTTATGTTGAAAGTGATATCTATATTATTACTGGTAGTGAGTGCCGTAAAGTGTTGCTAAAGAAACAATGGTTTAGACAACTGTTGAGAGGGTTGAGTTAATTGAACTGTACTATGGAAATAGACGTTGTGCTGCGAGAGCCGATGAACTGTTCAATCAAAAACATGGGAAAAATGTGTCGCGACAGTATGTTTTCGATTTAATTGCAAAATTTCGTGCAACTGGATCTGCAGCAAATAAAAAACTGCAAATTGAACCACCAGTAACAAATGAGGCGACACCAGTGGCAATGGAAGATACTATTAATCCCCTTCTCACTGATATTATTGAAAATGACCACAATTATCGGGAGGATCTGTTAATATTTCAACAAGATTGGGCTCCTCCGCACTATGCTCTGCCTGTTTTAGATCAGAAAAAAATATTGAAGAAGAAGAGGCAGGGGACAGCACTCAAAGCTGACAGCTGACACTTGAATAATTGAATGTACAGTCAATACGTTATGGTCTTAGTAGCCGAGGCCATTACATGATGAAGAAGAAGAATATTTTTGGATATTTTCATTCATATCTTAAACCATATAACCTCCAATATCATGAAACTATAAGTCTCGACTGTCTCGAGTATTATAAATTATATGTAACATATTACAGTGGAAATGGAAGATAGTTCATCTGATTGTAGCTCGGCCGAAAGAGCTTTTTATATTTTTCAGATTGTGGAAGGTAACAAATACCCAAAAAAGGTCGATAAAAAACTGATTTTTCCTCCACAAAAAATGACTTTCGTTGAATATCTATTATCTACTTCTGTGCAATGTTTAATCATTTCAGTAATTCACGATGAGTAATTATTTTTTCTACCAAGTTTTCGACAACAAAATTTGGAAGAAAGAAATAAATAAAATTATAACGTGTTGTTTAAATTTCTGAAAACTCCTCCCTTATCTATCAAGATTAATTTTTTTACATCCACCCAGTATCTGTAGATTGGCAAACGAAAAAAAAAGTGAAATTCTCGCATAAATTATTCTTAGCCGGTTTCTTGATGATAAACATGAACTAAGAAATGCATTCTCAGTCTACAACGATAACCTACATCTGGTTCAACAACGCCATTGGTTCGCAAAGTGATTTTTATTAATTAGCCATAGGCAAAATTGATGATGGGATTTCTCTATGAGTTTGTATCTGAAATATTAGCATTAGTGTACAACTTTCATATTGATATATATCACTTTTTCTTCCTTTCTTGGCACTTTTCCAAGAATTTGATGAAAAATTAACCATAATTTCTTGATTTGTGTAGTTATATTCGATAAGTTCTACGGGTTAGAGAATCGGCGAATTGCTAAAATAATAATAATAATAATAATAATATCGTTTATTATGCATAAAAATACATTTATACATAAAAGGAAAAGGGTTAGCCACCCTTCCCAAAAATTATACAGTGAGTGTAAGAAAGTAATCATAAAAACACTTATTTACTATCATAACAATGATAGAGAAGAGAAAAAAATAATTTCAATGCAACAATTTCATTGCACCACCATACATTGAATTTCAAATTAGCACTGAGCACTAAGCATCTGTGATTTTATTGTTTTCTTAAATTGATGAATATTATGATTCAAAAGGGGTAAAATTTAATTCAGATAGGAAGGGGCTATATAAGAAAAACATCCTTGAAATTTGGTAGTAAGGTGCCTAGGTCCTAGGTATATTGAATGAGTTAATTCTCAAATTGACCATATGTATGTCAGACTGCCTGCTGGATAAACTATATAAATAACTAGGTGTTTCAGTTTGAAGCAACTAAAACAAAAAAAAAACAAATATTGGACTCTGTACCTCACATTCACCTCCTTCATTTTTAACAAAAATGATGTGACAAATTGACCATATGTATGTCAGACTGCCTGCTGGATAAACTATATAAATAACTAGGTGTTTCAGTTTGAAGCAACTAAAACAAAAAAAAATCAAATATTGGACTCTGTACCTCACATTCACCTCCTTCATTTTTAACAAAAATGGTGTGACATGTTCACTATATGGTATACAACATACAAATCGCATGCAAGCATTTTGTATACCTACGTTGTAACTTCTGCTTGTTATATTGCGGCAAAAAATTGTAATACACCGAACTATAATCCTCGAAATGGGGGTAAATAAGAGTTTCATTTCTTCTGATAACTGATACTTGAATTTATATAACGATTTGAGTTTGAAGAATGATACTTTGAAAATGTTTGTCACATGTTCATGGAAAGACAAAGAGGTATCTATGGTTACGCCAAGATTTTTAGCACTGTCTACCCAGTCATTGTCTGCGTTATCGAGAGTGAGCTTAAAGTTACACTGAGTTTCTACTATTTGTCTCTGAGACCCTACGCATAAGGCCAAAGTTTTATTTGGATTGATTTTCAGTCCATGATTCTCCGCGTATAGGAATGTTTTGTGCAAATATGTGTTTATGTTGGCCACCCAACTTTCTGTATCGGTGTTATGAGAAGACAAATATAACTGTATATCATCTGCGTATAGATGTACTTGACAATGTGATAAGAATGTGGGTTAATAAAAAATGAACACTGAAAACATCAGGGGTCCTAAAATGATTCCCTGCGGTACACCTGAGATAGTTTCTTTTAGGGATGACCATGAGCCATGAGTAATCATCCAGTTTGACCCTCTGTGATCGGTCTGTGAGATAGCTGGTCATCCATTTAAGAGAAATGTCATCGAATCCTATGAACTTGAGCTTGCTGATGAGTAAATCGAAATTAACTAAATCGAAAGCTTTACTTTGATCAAGCGGTACTAAAATGGAGACTTTTGATTGATCTCTGAATCTCTCAAGATCGTCGATTACTTTCAAGAGGGCAGTCTGTGTTCCGTGATTTTTGTGGAACATACACTGCTCGTAGGGGAGTATTCGATTTTCTTCAAGAAACATTTTTCTCGAATATTTTAGAGAATGAGGGCAAAATGCTGATAGGGCGTAGGTCACCAAACGTAGTAGGTGCATTCTTTTTCGGAATTAGAATTATATTAGCAACTTTCCAAATATCTGGAAAATACCCTGTCTGAAGGACTCGTTTAAAATATGTTTAACTTCATCAATACAGTGTGGTATCACTGAAGAAATCACCTTGATATTTATATTATCCTAAAGCATTAGATTTTATTTCTTTGATAGCAGTCAAAATATCATCATCACATATATCGGTGAGGGAAAAGTTCATAGGAGCGTTCAATTCATTATTTTTGTAGAATGAAAAAGTGTTATTATTTACTATTGAGTATCCAGCCACGTTTTGCGAGCATGATTTTGTAGTAACACCCCAATCTGCACGATTTCTTCTCTATTAGAGAAGTTACTGAGGATGTCGGTATATCGGTTAGCTCATGCAATGCAATTTCTCCGTAAATTTTGTGCATGAAGAGTATGGCATCGGAGTTAGTTTCAAAATTGCTGAAATTTTACTAAAAAAACCGTCACATTAGCATCGGTCATGAATTGTTGAATGATGTCATCGGCGAATAAGATTTACTCAAAACTAAAGTTCAATCATCCCAATGGAAGAGCCCAGGAGAGCCAAGATAAAAAAAACACGCCAAGTTCGATAAAATGTCAAGGTTTCGCCCACTGATGTGTGGTCAATAAGGAGTACTATCTTGAATACAAAGAAAACTTGTGGGAATGCACCTGCCCACTAGTCATTACTTGTTCGTATTTTTTATCATAAACAACACCGTAATCATGCCTCATCCACCGTATTCACTAGATTTGATCTCTTGCGACTTTCTTCTGTTCCCAAGATTGAATAGACCCATGTAAGGATAGCGTTTTGCAACGATTGAGCACATACCAAATAGTTCATACCAAAACTTTTTCGAGGATTGGGAAAACGCTGACACGGGTGTATTGTCGCTTTGAAGTTATTGTAAAATTTGCCGTTTCCGCGGCAAGTTTGAAGCCACTTGAATTTTGAATAGTCGTGTTGTATTACAGGTGCTGTACATTTTTCATCATACAGGAAGTATTATACATTGATATTGAAATTGAAAAATTGAGAGCAGATTATTTTTGTGAGGAGATCGATGAAATGTGCTGGTCAACAGAAGAGGTCCGAACCTACTCAACGACAACGCCCTTCCGCATGTTTCACAAATCACCGTCCAAAAATTGAACGAATTGAGCGTCGAAGTGTTGCCTGAGCCGCCATAATCTCCAGACTTCCCTCAGGTTTTCACTTTTCGGCAAGTTTTTTTTCCATTTATTATGGATAAGTTTTTTTTCATTCATAGGCCTCAACCAAATTTGATTT